ACAAACTAGGACAATCGATTTGTATCAATTTTACACTTAATTTGAAATAATTTATGATTCTATTCCATTTTGGTCAAATTTTGGTATACTGTTGATATTCTGGTTATCAACTAGTATGCCAAAATGCTATTGGTGCATTGTATCTAACATATTAATTATCTAATAGAAAGGCATTTATCAATATACCTATATTTTTATTAACAAAATACCTCTAATTTTTAATATACGTACATGAATGCATGGCCTAGTTCTCGTATAGTTATTTTTTTTATTTAAATGGGTTAAATGATTGTTTAGTGAAGTTTAAACTTGAAAGAACACATTATAAATCTACATAAAGGTTTAGTTTCTTTAGTTGGGTTTAGAATTAGATGGATACATGTTGGTTGAAAGGCCCAGATCTTAAGTCAATTCATGAATTGTTCTAAAAAAAATTTGCAGAACATATGGACACGTAGTGTTTTCTTGTTTAATATAATCATTATGATATACCCAAAAAAAGAAATCTAAGGACATTTTATAAATTTGCCCATTTTGAACATGTTCTAAATTTTAAGAAATTTTGTTTTTTTTTTTTAAGTATTATTTTTTCTCATATTGATTAAATATCATTTCAAAATTATATACCCAAAAAAAGAAATCTAAGGACATTTTATGAATTTGCCCATTTTGAACATGTTCTAAATTTTAAGAAATTTTGTTTTTTTTAAGTATTATTTTTTCTCATATTGATTAAATATCATTTCAAAATTATATATTTAATTTATATAAATATATATTTATATTAATAAACTCAAAGTTATACATGAAAACTTTTGATATACCTACAGTTTTAGTTATAAAATTGGTAACATGCTAATATAGTAGTGTAAACCGTGATTACCCAAATAAGGTAAGCATGACTAATTATTTTCCCTTTTAACTTTTCTTGTTATGAAATAAAAGTGGCTATTACACCATTTTATTGCTAATGGCATGGCTGTTACTTTTCTTCCTCCCAACAAATGAGAAATGAATGGCTAATAACTGTGTTCCATCGAAACTGCTTTCAACATTAATATCTCCAATGTACAAAAACAATGTTTCAATTTATCACCAATGGATAACTAATGAATTGCTCTTCTTTAAAATTAATTGATATTGTGTGGCACCTTTTGGTAAATTTCACATCCTAAAGTATGTTGGAGATGTTAAGTATATAAGTCAACACCATTATTGGTGTGTTAGGTACATAAGTTAACACCTTTATTGACGTGTTTTAAAATCATGAGGCATGATGAGTTAAAGCAGATAGTATCAATAGTATGTTGGGTTTTTACATATGGTATCAAGCCACTCTACATAACTTCTGGGACAATAGTGGAACAAACCTTAGCAAGTATATTGAGTCCTAAAAAAGGGGTGTATATGACACCCTAAAGCAAATCCCACCTTGACAAAGTATAAGAGAGATGTTAGATATATAGGTTAATACTTGTTAACCCTTATTGAGCATTTTAACACTATGAGGCCCGATAAGCCAAAGCGAACACTATCAATAATGGGTGGAGTTGTTACATATTGCATATAACAATTATCATCCATGAAACTTATAACGTAAATAAGAATTACTTACTAGAATTATTATACAATGAATATTTAATATGAGAGTTACAATTTCTTCTAAGTAGGTTTATTTTCTATGAAATAAAGAAGAAGTTACAAGTTTTCTTTCTTCTTATTAGTGTTGTTCTTCCACTTTGCTCTCTTTATTTCCTCTATTTTCATATTATTTCATAATATTTCTTTCCTTCTTTTGTTTCAATTTCTTATTTCTATCCAACTGTGATTTAACCTTACTTTTAAACTAGAAAGAATTCAAAAATGAAATTATACTCAGTATCCCATCGAGGGGTGAGCAAAGTAAGTCCTATTGCTTGTTATGTAGAAAGCTTTCTAATGTTAATATTTAGCAATTTTACTCAGATTTGATCTATTGCATTTTCAATACCTTTAATTTTCATTTATTTCCAAATAACCTTTTTTTCTCTGTTTAGCAGTTACAACCAATATCCTCATACTAAGAAAATAGAGTACTCTGTTAAAGCTAGAACATGGCTACCATGGCAGTAGAAGCAGAGATGAAATGGGTGGCATGGTCGCAGCTAGTGTTGGCAATGGTGGTGGTGCAAGTCTTCTCAACAGGGCTACAGCTTCTTAGTCGGGTCATTCTGACTAATGGAACCTTCGTCTTTGCACTCACAACCTATCGTTTTGTGGTTGCAACTCTCTGTGTTGCTCCTCTTGCTCTATACTTCGAAAGGTTCTTTTGTCTGTTTCTTTTTTGTTTATTTTTTTTTCTCCTTTATTCAAGAAAATTGTATGAGATTCTTCAATTTTTCATGGTTGCAGAGGTGATGTAATGAAGTTGAAGACGTTTACTATTTGGCTATGGCTATTCCTCAATTCAACAATGTACATATTCTTACACACCCTTGTTCAACATTAATATTTGCCTTCTTTTTGGTGCATGATCAATTATTAAACAATGGAAGGGTTTTTACATACATATCATGATGCAGGTTAACAATGGCCTTCTCACTCTTATATTATGGAATTAAAGATACAACAGCTAATTATGCTACTAACTTCCTCAACTTAGTTCCGATTGTCACTTTCATGCTTTCCATCATTTTGGGGTAATCAGTTGTTTGAAAACTCTCTTTTATAGCATATGTTGCTTGACATTTTTCATCTTGTTGTCATATAATATGAGAGTATAAGGAAAAGGCTTCTTACCCATCATTCCTCCTTCTTACCCCTCTTCTCCATGAAAGTTTCAATTCCAAAATAATATATATATATATATATATGAGCATAAGCGATTTGAATCTAGGACCTATAAATAATGTATCAATTATCAAAGCATAAGCGATCAAGTTTTAATTGGTCTGTAGAATAGAGGAATTGAGATTGGCAAGCAATGCTAGCAAGGCGAAGACAACAGGTGTGTTCTTGTGTGTAGAAGGAGCCTTTATTACTACTCTTTATAAAGGAAAAGCATTCCATTTCTACATATCTCAGCATATCACTCATTATCCTTTTGCTATGCCCATTGGAGTCAAGACTAATTGGATACATGGAACTTTGTTCCTTATAGGAAGTTGCTTCTGCTATGCTACCTTTTATCTAATGCAGGTATACATTAAATTGGTTATGTTTTGTATCTTCATGTTTGGGTGATAAAATTTACATTTTACCTAGATTGGTAATGTCAACACTATTTAAATTGTAAGGCAAAACAGTTCTTGACATGATTGTTTGCTAAACAGGTCAAGGTGAAAGAAGTTTCTCTGTCAAAGTATTGGACGACAATGATAACATGCACCATAGCATCTGCACAATCAACCGTTGTAGGTTTAATCATGGACAAGCGCACGGTTGTATGGAAATTAAGCTGGAATTTAGAACTACTCACTATTGTTTACTCTGTTAAGTATTGATTTAGATCTCCTCACTATTGTTTACTCTGTGAGTACTGATATAAGGTGGGAAAAACGTAGAAGTTCTGTTTCTACATTTAATTAAACGTATACCATGTATTTTCAGGGGATGCTAGCTACTACAACAACGTACTGCTTACTTATATGGGCAATTTCAAAACGAGGACCGAGTTATCCCCTTATGTTCAATCCCTTGGGGTTGGTTTTTGTAGTGATATTAGAGGCCCTCCTTCTAGGAGCAGAGATCCGTCTTAGGGCATAAGTATGATTTTGTAGTTTTCCAAATCATCCTAGTTGATTTAATATTAATGGTTTTTGTATGATATCAGGATATTAGGAATGATATTGATAATACTGGGATTATACTCATTTGTGTGGGGCAAAAATAAGGAGATGGAAATAAGAGCTTGCCTCCAATAATGAGTAGTTGATGAAGAAGTAAAAATTTTTCCCAATCTATAGAGATCAATGCAATCTACAGGAATCAACCGTTGTGACGATGTAGATTTATGAGTTTCTCTTTGCAAATAAATTTGTAAGAGAAAAAGAAAAAGAGAGGGAGTTTTATCTCCTCCCCCCCCCCCCTTCTTTTTTTTTTTGAGAATTTTGTAGAGGGAATAGTAGGTGGAAAGAAGGAAATTTAAAAGCTCAGAAGTGTTGTTCCTTCAACATGACTCCTCTAATTCCGCACCATCTCTTTGTTGTCCTTGACTCCTTATACACAAAAACAATTAAATACAATAATTAGATAAATGATCAAAGACAAAATATGAGCAAAACAAGATAAATAAACGCAACCAAAAATGGGTTGAAGCAAGGGAAAAGTCCCTCCTTTTAGGATGACTCACACCTTTGCGAAATCTCAACTCTCTCATGTAACATTAATTTATACACATTATGCCTCCTCGGGATACAATAGTTATAAGCAAAGATAATCTATAAACTTACACTACTCATAAAGTCTATAATTCATGATTGCACTTTTTTTTACCCAAAAATATAAATATGTGACAAGATGACGCCGGAATGCAATTAGACAACGCAATGGTTTTCAAGTAACTTACCATTAATATGTCCTAAATATTTGAAAAATGATTGAAATACATATTTTAATGTTTGTTTAGGTTTAATTATTAAAATATAATATAAATACAATTAATTTAATCAATTTTTACATCCTAAATACATAAATGTATTTTTAAATTTATTGTTATTAATTTAAGACCAAAAAATAATAATTTTTTAATAAATGTATTGTATAATGTGTTAAACTAAAATTTATGTTAAAGTATTCAAGTTATTTTTAATGGCAGAGAAAGAAATGGATAATATGTGCGGTATAACTTACATGCATCACTCTTAACATTAATTTGAACTTTAATATATATGAATAGTAACTGATGCCAATAAATTTCTAAGTAAATATTTTTATTAAAATAATTTAACTTGAAGTTTTAAAAAACTAATGGTGACTGTAATCAAGCTTTTCTAAGTTGATGGGTATGGGGAGGATCAGAGGCGAAATCAGGATATCAATTATAGTACAATTTATCAGTTGTGTTAAGGAGTGTCAATAATTAAACTATTACACCTGTTTACAATTATTAGAGTAATTGAAAACAAAAATTTGGAGTAATATTCTAAAAATAACGGTTTAAAAAGCAAATAATAAATTTGTCAATTAATTACAGCACTTTTTGTTATTATTTCTACTAAATTTTAAGTCCTTGTATCAGACATGTGCTATCCATATATTGTCTATGTATTATACATAGTTTTAATCTCTTTTTAATTCATTATTTTAGATTTTATTTAATGCAATCATTATCTATATTGATTTATTATTAATAGTAAATTCATTTTTTATCTAATAATTAAACTTCATTCCACTTAAAATTTTGTATTTTTTTTTTTTACAGATAGGATCTATGCCAAACCCCTATAAACCATAGATAGTTTCACCCATGAAAGGAATGGCTAAGAGAAGAAATGGAAGGATGTTTGATCATTTTAGATTGAGAAGATGGAGTCAAAAACCGTAATCCCCTTTCTCTGCTCTAATCCCCTTTGCTCTCTCTTGTTCTTTTTTATTAACTTTAGTTGTCACCTCTCGAATAGGTTAAAGTGCTTATTTTCGTTGTCCACGACATGGTGAAGGTGAGATCTTGACTAATCTTACTTTCTTAGAAGTTGGAGAATCAACCCCTTAGTCCATCGAGGTTTGAGTTTGGACATTACTTTTAATTTTGTAAATATTATTATTTTTAATAGCATTTTAATTGCTATTGGAGTATCTCATTGGACACCTTTGCTCACCCCCAAAAGGCTATTTCTTTTAATTCCAATAGCAATTCACCTATCAATTACAACTATCATTTTTTTTTTTTTGGATCAGCAATATAATTTTATTAATTAGAGCACAAGGGATACTCCTACCCTTTACATACTAAAAGTAGGTAACATCTCAACAACAATGCATGTAGAATACCTAAACCCTCTTGAAATTCCTATCAGATTCCAAAAGCTTAGAATACATAGAATAATATTTCCAGAATCTTAATTCAATAGTTTAAGGTCTCCTTTGGGTTATTATACCATAGTTCCTCTCTCAAGTCAAACCTTGATCTTGCCTTAATCCAAGAAAGGGATATGAATTTGATAAAATTGAGCACATCACCATTAGATTTATCCTCGCTATTGAATATCCTCTAATTCCATCTTAGCCATAGTGACCATACCATAGTGAACCAAATAATTGACCAAAAATCTCTTTGCACTCCACTTCGAACTAAACCAATATGCAGGAGATGTGTTGTAGGAGATGTCCATAGCAAGTTCCATAAGCGACAACCTCAAAACACCCTACTAAGCATAACATGATGACCAAATTTTCCATGACTCTTCACATGATATCAACAAGTGATCAGCATTTTCTTCATACTATCCACAGCAAGGGCACATAGAATCTTGTCCCAATTATAGTAGCCCTTTCCTAGCTAAATTTGATTTCGTTGGCAATCGATCTTGCAATGCTCTCCATGCAAATGTTGTTACTTTAAGCGACACCTGATTGTTCCACACAATTTGAAGTCAATAGCCATCCCATGCTGGAGTGTTGCAGTTAGGTACCTATAAGCTAACTTCACATGTACATGCCTCTCTTGTCATGCTTCCAAGTCCATGTGTCTTGTTTGTCTTGTTTGAGTTCAATTCCTTCAAGTTCTGCAATCAAGTCCTACAAAAGAAGATTTTCCCACACAAACAAATTCCTCCTCCATCTCCACTGCCATTCCCACTTACCTTCCTTCCATATTCCCATACCCGCAACCATAGCATTTTTCTTATTTGTTAACATGAATAGCCTACAATATCTCTCTTTTAGAGTTCCACTACCTAACCAATTCTCATGCCAAAAAGAAGTGTCTTTCCCAGAAGTATCTTTCCATTCCCCATTGCTTTTATGATCCCCTCATTCAGCCACTCCCTCCTAGTTTGGACAAGATCATCTAATCCCTGCAAATCCTTCCACGACATAGAACTACTTGCCTTACACTCACACCCATCCCAACCTTTTTGTTCCCTACCCCTATATAATTCCATTACAACATTTCTCCATGGGGCTTCTTTTTCCATCAAAAATCTCCATTTCCATTTCCCTAGGAGTGTAGCATTGAACTTCTCTAGATTCTTTACCCCTAGTCCACCATTCAACCTCTCACTACATATCTTTTCCATACTTACCCAAGCTACTTTCCTAGTTTCCCCACATCCCCCCATGAAAAATGTCTTTAGATCTTAGAGAGAGAATGTAGTACCTTTTTTGGTGTCTTATAAATCAAGAAGAAGTATATTTGTATGCTTGATGCCGAATGTAGACAATTTTTTGTGGAGGCATTCTAGAATTAGCCTCTATGTTGTAGCTTTTCTCAGATTTGTACCTATATGGATCCCAAGGTATCTAAATGGAATTTCACCCACTACATAGTTTAGTCTGCTTGCCATAGACTACAAGTTGTTCTCTTCCACATTAATTCCCATTAAAAAAACTCTTGTAAAAATTCACCTTCAGCTCAAAACTCAGTTCAAAACTCCTCATTATGCCTTTAATGGTACTAAGATTTGATTCTGATGCTTCACAAAATATAATTGAGTCATCTACAAACTATATATATTTTTTACTTTTGTGGTCTATCTTTTTAACACTTATTTTTGTCACCCGATCGACACCTTGGTTCCTCTTGCTCGTTTACAACACCATGGTCCCTCTTTTATCTATTTTTGGAAAAGTAGGGCATTTATGAAATTTTACAAGTCAAGTCATGCTACCCATGACGGGTCACAAGGTAGGGTAGGGGCTAATCAAAGCAGTCCATCCAACGCGTATTAGAGATTTTGAGAGCAAATATGCAAAAAACGTCAATTTTCCAACACTATGAGAACTTCCTAATGTATGGTATATTTAGCCTTATTTAGTCTTTCCACTCCATCCCATTTCCTCTTCATTTAGTAGTGCTTAGTACTCATTTCCCTCCCTTCACAGAGAAAACAGAGTAGTCTACTGAATCATGCTAGAAATGGTTGCCACGACGCTGGAAGTGATGAAGAAATGGGCGGTGCAGGTGGAGGTAGTGCTGGCGATGGTGGTGGTGCCTGTCATCGTGACGGGGCAACGGCTTCTTAGTAGGATCATTTTGATTGGTGGACCTTTCATCTCCACACTCATGGCCTATCGCTTTTTGGTTGCTGCTCTCTTCGTGGCTCCTTTGGCTTTCAAATTTGAGTCTTTGTTTTTGGTTTATTTCTTTGTTTTTGTCATTTATTCATGAAAATTGTATCAAGTTCTTGTATTTTTTGTGTTTGCACTTTGCAAAGGTAATCTAAGGTTGCTGAAGAAATCGTAAGTTTGGTTATGCCCAATCTTCAATGGTACATGGTATGTAATCAATCATCCCTATTTGCCATTTCTAGCCACACCAAATCACATCTCTCTTTGCAATGCAATAGTGAATAAATCTTAGTTATTGTGAAAGCTCCGGATTTTGAAAAAGGATAACCCAGTTTCTCTTAATCATATGGGATTCTCTGTTGTGTTTCATGTTTTTTAGTCTAAACTACAATTTTAATACTCAAGGCTGAAATTATTAATTTACATTGATGGGTGAAGTGTTTCATGGAGGGTAGTTTAGTTATTTTAGTATCTAAATTGTATTTTAAATGTGTAATTTGACTTAGAGAACATTTTTTTTTTTTTTTTT